GGAAGTATGGCCATTTTCCCTATATTGGTTCTTCCTACCCAGGAGCAAGGGATGTCTTTCCATTTTCTTGTATCCTCTTCGATCTCTTTTTTCAGAGTGCTATGAAAGTCTCATCTTTAATCAGTTAAATGATTTTTGGGGTGTGGTATGAGCTGGAAAAATTCAGTTGTACTCTTTTACAGCAATCATCAAATAAAATTGCATAGATGCTATGTAATACCTCTGTAAGGAGAAAAATCCCACCTGTGCATCAAACTTTTGGAGAATGGACCTTACAAACACCTGTTTTACCCAAAAATTTGGGGATTATTCTTTCAAAATCAAAGACTATTTCTATTTTCTCATTTAATTTTTCCTAGACTGACTTCAATAAATATATTTAACAAAAACTACCTATGAGAATTTAAACATTTACTTTAAATTCTGTTAACTGTAAAAATGTTCTGTTGCAATTTGGGAATGAAAGCCTTGGAAGCAGTACAAATTGCATAAACTAAAGATATGTAGATGCTAAAGAAAATCTTGGCAAGTAGTAGTAATACTCAATTCAAATATTTCTGAAAAAAACCCAGCAAATTTTATAAGCTAACATTAACACTGCCTTTTTCACATCTGTAAAATACATACCCTAAAAATCAAAAATAAGATTGTTCACTATTTTAAGAATGTCATGGAAAAATTAAATTTCTAAGAATGTCATGTTTGTGTCATTTTAAATGGAGGCAGTTTATGTATGAAAGAAAGCAATAATCCAGTTTCTCTGATGTTACTGTATACACAATCGCAGGGTACTTAAAATATCTTACTTCATTAAGATTACTGGATAATTACTGGCAATCATATTCAATAATTCTACATATATTAGAATGTTATAATGGATACTTGGTTTTTAACGATTATCACTGAAAAGGGTATTTTCTATTCATTCCTTACACAACATTACTTTTTGTCAGTTAAGTACATGTACTTCATTTAGACATGTTTATATATGGCAGGCAGCTTATTTTAAAGAGTGGAAACAAAGATAAAAACGATATGGAATAAAATTAGTGATCATTTTCCTTAAAAGATAATTTGCACAAAAATGAAATATTAAATTACAGATATTATTCACTTATATTTATAATTGGTCTGCAAAAGGCTTTTAACATGTTAAGTGTTACATGTACAAAGTTTCCCCCCAGGTGTACTCTATTAACAAAGTAGGCTTTTCCTCAAGAGTCATGGGAGAAGATCAATTCCAGAAGAGGAACTTAGACAGCAGAACCCAAATATCTTAATACAGAATGACTTGAAAAGTTAGGTGAGTGATGCAAAACGCTTATCACTCAACAATATTTAAGAAATAAAACACATAGTAGGTTGCCCAAACCATCAGGAAAACCAAAATACCTACTTCACAAAAGAGGCTTTGATTCCACCTAATTTCCCACTTGGCTAGGAAGGCCAGAGGAAAAAAAAAAACAGGAAATTCCAGGACAGAGACTTCAGCACTGTAGATGGGATTCCTGATTTCAAGCAAGTATCAGGGCCAACATAAAAGCTTTGAATTCAGCACCCAGAAAAATTTGTCAGGTGAAAAAGACTGCTCAGGTGTCCCAATAATTTGAAAAATCTGTAACAGCTGAACAGTAAGAGCCTTAACTCACTCAAAAGGGATGCAGCCACCATCAAAGATTCCATTCCCAGGGTTACTGCCAGTCCTGGAAGTCTAACTGGGTTGTCACTAAACTCAAATAGGAGAGATGGCTTTCTTTCAAAAACGAATGTATACAGCCAACCGGGGTTCTTCAGGGTGTCCAGAAAGGGAGACTGGGAGTTGGAAGTCGAGCAGGCAAAACCGTGTTCTACGAGTGGTTGTTTCGAAAAAGGATATGCATCAAGATGCATCGGGCTAGCAATCCCGCAGAAATACCTGTTCTATCAGGTGATGCACTGAAACTGTACGGGAAATGGAGAAAAAGTACCCGTTGTGGAAAAAAAAATGCTTTGAAAATCAAACCATCTACATTTGAACAGACCAAACACATTTCGGAAAGGGGAATACTGGATCCGATTTCTGAAGCTAAAATTACTGTTGACTGCAGAAAGAGCACCAAGGATGTAAAAATTCCAATATTTCTTTTTCTCTGAATGTAAAACGGATCTTTCAACCAACTCCCACGCCAGAAGGGCTCCCTGACAAGGACCAAGGCTGTGAATGAGAAAACAACTTAAGGGGATAAACTAAGAAGATGCCCACACAACCAAGCAGGGCGGATTTTACAGGCCTCCACTGGGAAACAAACCACCAGCCCAGTACCCAAACTGACCACGCACACTCACGCACAAACATCCGTGAAATGAGAGGGAGCAGACGAAGGGAGAAGAGAAGCGAAAGAGAAGAGAAGCAAAGAGAAGAAGAGAGGGAGGAAGGGGAGGAGGAGAAAAAAGCCAAGCAAACCAAAACACCAGGAGGCTGGAGCACACACCCCACCACCACCCACCCACCTACCCCTCCTCCCCCCTCCCACCCTCCCTCCCCAAGAGCTGGGCAAGCCTCAGTTAAGGCACTTTTACTCGAAATCCCCTGTGGCTTTTGGCTTGCCCGAACATTTTATAGCGTCACCAAGACGCGATTTTTCAAAGCATCTGAAAAACGTGCAAATTGTCTGGAAACAGTGCCTAGCAACTGAGAGAGACAGTTTGCAAGCGTGATTCAGAGGTCTGCCTGCCCAGGAAACAAAAGAAGCCCCGCTCCAGCCAGTGCGACCGACCGCACATGGCAGGAGAGGTGCTCCGGGCAGCCGCAGGGCTGATCTTAAGGGAAGCGACAGGCAGGAGTCCGGACGGGAGCGGTACATACTAGGGCGCGCTCTCCGGCAGCGGCGGCAGCGGCGGCAGCGGGGCCGCGGAGTTGCCATTGGTGGGGGAGCCGCCCAGCTTCAGCTTCTCCAGGTACTCGGCGTGCACGGGCTTGTGGCACTGGAGGACCTTGATGGCATCTTCGATCTTGAACCATTCTCGCTTCCTCCCGATGCTGACCGAATCTTCCCAATCCTCCAGCAGCTCGGTGACAGTCAGCACATACACGTACGTTCTGTGCTTGCGATCTTGGTTCTGCTCGAAGACGCCCAGCAGACGACCCAACTTCCCTTTGACTCCCGCCTCCTCGTACACCTCTCGCACGGCCGCGCCGCCCGGCTCCTCCTCGGGCTCCAAGCCCCCGCCCGGCACGATCCAGCGGTCCGGGTACCGGCTGCTGCTCACCAGCAGCACCTCATCCTCAAGCTCGCTGCGGAAGCACAGGCACGCCGCCCGTTTCTTGAAGCCCTCCGGGTCGTAGGTCCGCGTCTGGTTCGGCTTGCACTTCATGCTCGGGGCTGCCGCCTCTAGAAGCTGCGGAGCGGGCTGCCGCTGAGCTGCCTGGAGAGAAAAGGCCTGGCGCGGCGGGAGAACGGGCGAGAGGGCGAATAAGCGAGAGGGTCGGTAGAGCAGGAGACCTAGCAAGCGAGGGAGGGAGCAGGCCAACCAGAGCGGCTAATCCGCCGCCAGCCGCAGCCCAGGGACAACTAGGCGGGCGCGGGGGCGGGCACGGGGCGGAGGCGGGGCAGGGCGAGCAGGCGCGTCAGTTGGTCCGCGGGGCGGGCAGTGGCCTGCCGGGCACGCGGAGGGTCCCCAGCCCGCAGCCTGATTGGAGGAGCCGCTTCTGCCACCGCCCCGCGCCCGGCAGCCCGCGACTGTGCTCGCGACTCCGCTCTCGGCCCCCCAGGACGCCGGTGCGCTCCCGCCTCTGCCCCCTCCGCTCCCCTCCCCCTACCTCCCTCCTCTCTCCGTCTCTCCCCCCCTCTACCGCCCGGCCGCCCGGCCGCCCAAGCCCGGGGTTGAGCGAGGTGAGGCGGGCGCGCTCGCGTGCGCGTCCACGGTGCAGGGCCACGGGGCGGGGGCGGGGGTCTCCCGAAGTCCGCAGAGCGCGGCGCCGCGGACACACTGCGCAGGCGCCCCGCACCTCTGGGGCTGGGAACTCCTGCCCACAAGGCGAGATGCTCTGCATTGTGACTCTGCCCAGGAGTGTCTCCACGTGTGCCTTCCGGCCAGGCGCAGCTCTAGCTTGCCTGGACCAGGGTTGTTGCTCCCCACGCGCCCATCTGCGCCACACTGCAGGAAGCACACGCGTAAGTCTTTGTGCACATGGTGGGGCTGAGGACTGACGTCCTCACCGTCATCTCCTGTGATGAAAGGCACCAGCTTGCTAATAGGAAGGCCCCCGGAGTACGCAGATTGACCAGTGGGGCTCTTTGCAAAATCATCTTTGCTGAGTCACGTCACGCAGATTTCCTTCTTCAGCAGGTCCTACACTTTTCTTAAACCCCTGTGTGCATCTTACCCAACCTCTCTGTGCCTCAGGTTCCCCAACACTCAACTCCTCGCCTCCTGGTTTCAGCCCTTTGCCCTTGAAAGTATGTACACCTCACAACTGGAGGGCGACCCCGCAGGGTCTGCTATTAAATCTCAAGGGCCTCCACTCTCCACACACCCTGCCCTTATGTTTTTTCTCATTTGACAAGCGCTGCTAGGGGTTTGGGAAACATGTACATGGAAAGTGCTGCATGATTTACGTTTTCCGCTTTGAAAAGGCCCCCAGGGGACCAGGAGGCCTCTCTGTCCTCTCACCTCCCAGTTTTGTGGGCCTGCGCTCTTAGCAAACAATGGCACCCACCACCCCAAATGTAACAACCTAAGCCTTCCCTCTCCTTTCTGTTTCTTTGCACAGTTCCCCCGTGTCTGTCTTGGCCTAGCTTTAGAAGACCTCTTATGTCCCCTAACCTTTATCCTATCACAAGTTAAACATTTTTGTTTCTCTCAAGACACTCTGCTGGCTTCAGCCAAGGGGGATCCTGGAAACTTATTCCCTCAACTAGATACTCGCTTCACCAAGGGAAAATGCACTGTAAAAAGTAGTTATGAAACACACGTCCAATTTTCAAATACCTCAGCTCAGTTTCCAGAGGTCTTCTCCACTCCACGCATACCCAGAAGCAGGGCAGAAAATCATCTGACTCCCAAGGACAACGACCACCTGAACTATCCATCATGCTGTGACACGAAGGAATGGGTCATCTATGAAGAGCAAGATAAAATAGAAACATACAGTGTTATGGCTTGTGTCTAGATGCACCCCCCAAAGCCTCATGCGGGCATAGGTGGGGCTTTTTCAGAGGTGGCTGAATCTAGAGTGTGTAATGCTGGCATTAAGGGTGTGTGATCACTAAATCGGTCTACTGATTGGTTTGGCACTGTCCTATTCCCCAGTAACCTGGATAAGATAAAAGGTGCAGAAAGACAGTTATGGTCCCTTGTTTCTTTTGCTGTCTTCTGCTTGCCATGAACTTCTCCTCTGTGATGCCTCTCTGCCAAGGCACCCTGCCTTGGAGTGAGCCGATTATGGACTGGAACCTCTATAAACTCTGAGCTAAATAAACCTTCCCCCCTTTAACTTTGGGTGTCAGTTGTTTTGTCTCAGCAGCGAGAGAAAGGTAACTAAGACGTGCAGTGACATCACTGAGCAGGGATACTCCTGCTACTGACCATGTTAAAGACCTACGTGTTAAGTGCTCAAACAGGTATTCATGAAATTCAATACCCAGTGATTAAAAATAAAAAGAACTATGAAAATACTACTAGCAGCTTATGTATCTCACAGTTTTCAAACTCACAAATACACAGATGATATTAAACAACTGAAAAAAAATTCCATATTATCAGGAAGACAAACATTACCAAATTACTAAACATTGTTTTAGGGTTTGTTTCTGGTGCAATGAGAGTATAAAGAAGAAAATCTATATTGGTAGAAAGACTGAAGAAATGCTATGAGACACCTCATGAAAAATGCAAAAAATATTCTGCAAACGGGAAAATAAAATAGTCGTGTTTAAAATATCCATAGCTTTTGTGCACACCAGTGGCTATTATGTAAAAAATAAAATGGGGAAATGATGACATTCAAATTGAGAATATCAACCACAAAACAAAATGACAAAGCATCCTCAAGAATATGGTGAGGACATAATGACAAGATTTCTATTCTGAGCTCTAAAGGATGATTTCAGAAAGCAAAAGGCACTCTGGATCGGACTGATGTCTGGGGTAGTAGTGGTCCAACTGACCCCCAGCCATGGACCAAGTCTACCTGCACTGCGCGGATGTACTTCCACTCTCATGCCTTGATTTCTCCCTCTTTGATCATGAGCTTTGCTCCCCCCACAGCCCCATGGCTGTTTCTCTCCTTTCACTGGTCCTCCACCTTGTGGAGGATGCTAATTCAGCACCTAAATCCATTGTATTTCTCCTGACTGTTACGTGTCTGAGGAACATGCATAAGCCTTTACAGAAGCCTACAAAGCCCTATAAGATGTAGTGGGTTTTCTCTTTGACTTTGCCCCAACTCAGTCCTGAACACTTGATCTCTGGCTGCCCTGCACTCTGTAGGATATGGATTGGATCTGAGGTTCCCTCCTGAGGGCCTCTGCTCTGGCCATTCCCTCTGCTTGGAATGCTCCTCTCCCAGATCTGCCAGGCAAACACCTCTATTCCACCAAGCCTTGATCACTTCTCAGCTATTAAATGAGGGCCACCCAGGACCCCACGGTACTGACTGCTGTGTGTCCTCATCTTTGGCATCCTGTGGATGATACTCCTGATCCCTTTACCTTGGCCTGAATTTCCTTTTCATTACAGCCTATGACCTAACAGACTATGAAATTTACCTATTTATTATACCTTTTGCTTCTGTCTGTCCTCCCCCATGGCTCCTGCTAGAGCACTAGCTTTTGATGCGGGGCCCTTTCTCTTGGTAACACTTTTACGTCAGTGGGCCCTGAATTTGCTTTAATGTACATTGCAGTGACAGAAAATACCTGTGGTATAATGAATGTTTGTCTCCCCCTGCTAGATTCGAGAGACCCATGAGGGACAGGGCCATATTTCATGGGTCTTTGTAAATCCAGCATCCACAATGTTCTCTGATCTCCCCAGAAGGGCAGCCCTCAATCTGTGTTTAGTTGGTTAATCTTGTCGAAGTGACACTGGCAGGGAAAGCGTTCTCTTCCCATCCTGCAGTTATTCCAGGTGCCACTGTTTCAGTACAGTTTAAGTACCAGATGCCCGGCCAGCTGCTACTCAGCTGTGAGCCACTTCAGGGCTAGAAGTCCACCTCGTTTTCTGGCATCTTCTTGGGCTGCATGGTTTTTACCACACATCCCAGTTTGTGATGGTTCCGGGTCTTGGTCATTCAACACAGAAATGATTTTTACTATACCTGTGCAGAACACTACTATAACTTACATATTTTCTTCAAATAAGAGGGTATCTTGTAGAATAAGTTACAGTTGTATAAGTGAACACAATTAAAGCAAAACAGTGTTATGAGATAGCTGAACATAAACTTGAGAAGAATGTTTGGTGACAGTACACATTCGATTAGCTGTTCTACACCAGATGCTGCATTCATCTTCTTTTATTTACATTAAGAAAAACTCTTCAAAGGAAATGTTGCCATTCCTATTCTATAATGACTGTGGCAACCAAAGGTGTGACGGACCTTTCCAGCAGATAAGGGCACACATGTAGCCACATGAGGTTGGAGCTGCGGGGCTCATGGATGATCACACCCCAGGAATCCTGCAGCACAGGAAGATCCCCTCAGCAGGCCACCAGCAGCTCTCTGAGCTCTCCCCTGCGCTGACTGCCAGGGCTCTGAGGGCTTCCTTTCCTTTCCTCACAGTTTGAGAACGCCTGTCACGGAGGCTCTCTCCTGGACCTTTGGTCAAATGCTGGTAAATCCATCTCTGACTGCTGCTGTGGTAGGTGAGGGAGACTGTTTGGAGGCCTTGTGAAGAGACAGAATGCTGGTTATTCACAACTCCTTCATGAATTTAATGACGGTGGTTGCTGAGAGCGTCCTTTGATGCAGAACTGGCTTCCTGGTGTGGCGATACCATGCTTGGCAGTATGCCTTGCCTTCTACAAAGAACCAACCAACCCCGGAAGGAAGACAGCAGACTTCTCAATGCCAATACCTACCGGCAGGCTCCTGTACATAAGGCCAATTCCCTCAGAGGTAGAATGGACTTACCAGGGTCACCAAGGTATTCTCAAATGTCACAGGTTCGCTTGATGAGGACAAGGTACCTACTAGTGATATTTGATACAAAACGTGATTGGGAACCTGCCACAGTGGCACATGGCTGGGTTTCCAGCCATTTGGGAAGCTCAGGTAGTATGACTGCTTGAGCCCATAGTGAGACCCTGTCTCAGAGAAACAAATCTGATTGTGACAATGGATGCATTCCCAGTTCCACAGTGAACGCTTCCAGAACCACCAATCTAATCTTCCTGTTCTGGAGAGCTACACCACAGGCACTGTGGTAGTACGGGCACGATAGTGGGCTCTGAGTCTGTATCTTGTCTGGAGATTCAACAGTGAAGGAAAAATAACATTTCCTCTTCTTCTTTCTATCTTCTAGGCTATTATTTTAAGAACACTTTGAAAATCATTGGTTGTATTAGGACTTGTACAGCAGTCCTCTTCTTTATTCTGATCTTTGTTTAGTTCATTTAAATAGCTTTTACTACCAGCCCATATCCCAGTAGGGCACATCATGAATTTTGCCTTGCACAGACTTTCTGTTCTGTGCAGTTTGAAAATTCTTCTAAATGCATCCTGGCTTTTTGTTTTGTTTTGTGTTTGTTATTGATCTCTTAACTACAATACTAGAAGATACAAAGATAGCTGTTTGTGGACAAACCATGTGTCTGGTACTTTCCTTAGCCACGATTTTCCTAAAATCCCTGTGATTTAAATACCTTTACTCCAGTTAAAGAAATGAAAGGTCAGTAAGATAGGTCACTTGCCCCTAACCGCACAGGCAAGAACTGGCAGCCCTGTGATTGGAAGATGTGCTGTCACCACCCATTACCCTCATTGGCCAATGTAACCCCAAATTTAAAAAAATGTGATCAAAGAATTTGTGTATCTTTGAAAGTCAGTGATATAAGTTTTTAAATTCCATATCATTGGCATATCATCATGCAATTTATTCTTAGTGCTCACCTCCCAATGAATAATATTTTCCTTCTTTTAAA